TAGCTCCTCCTCAGCCTCCGTCTAGCTCCTCCTCAGCCTCCGTTTAGCTCCTCCTCAGCCTCCGTCTAGCTCCTCCCCAGCCTCCGTCTTGCTCCTCCTCAGCCTCCGTCTTGCTCCTCCGCAGCCTCCGTTCTGCTTGTTGTATTAACTTAACGTTTACCTTTTTTACAAAGTCGCAGCGTGTCACCTGGCTCTCAACGTTCCCACTGCACTGTGGCAGAAAATGCCATTTCATTCCTGAATTCATTTTACATTTACAAAACACTTCTCAGTCATGAATCTTATTTAAGAGTTTAAAATAATATGAAAACATTCGGGGAGAGCTGTGGCTGAGTGGTCCAGTGGGAGAGTTGGGGGTTTGATTCCACCAGCAGTCACATGCTGAAGTGTCCCTGGGCGACACTGAACCCCCCACTGCCTCCGATGTGTCCCATCAGTGTATGAATGTGATAAAGCTCTGGTTGATCTTTGTAAAGATCTAGTAGTGTATGAATGGGTAAATGAGCTTTCAGTATCTTGAGAGGACAGAAAGGAGCTACATAAGTTCAGTCCATTTACCATTTCAGACGACAGTCACAAAATGGAAAAAAAAAGTTGTACTTTTGAATTTAAGTTAGTCAGTGACTCAGTTGTTCCCTAGAAACCCACAACCTGTTGACTCAACAAACATACCAGCAGAGGCGAGGGCGGGAAATCCCTCAACACACACACGACCGGCCCACGGTGGACTCAGAGGGCCGGGCTTCTGCTCCAACTCTGCGGTAAGCGCTCATGTGTGAAGCCTACGTGGCTTTAATACAAAACAGATCTCTGTAAATGGAGGAGGATGTGTGGAGCTCCGGTGAAAGAAGTGTGTGTGCGCGGCACCATCTACCATCTCCTCCCGTCTTCGGCTCACTCTGCCTCAGGCACAAGACGGAAAGAGAAAGTGAAGCATCATTAAAGCTCCCATTTCAACCATCTGCTGCTTCCATCTTTACGCTGTCAAAAACAGAACCTACATTACAACAGGACAAGATGTTAAAAAAAAAAAAAAACTACACGATTACGTCAGCTCTGCTCAGTTTCCCATGGTTCACTTTTTCCTAAAAGGCGACGGGAGTTAAAGAGCAACACCCGCTCTGCTTTCCATAAAACCAGAAGCTCCAAGAAGAGAAGAACTCTCGTGGCGTTAAGAGATTTAAGAGGTTGGAAATTATGATTAAGTCCACATGTTGGTAACAACTCTGCATTGTTGATCTGGTGAGCAAACATTTAGATCCATCCCAGAATTACCTCACGGAGCAGAAGCTTGTGCACCTCCATTGTGTGCACAAAAACTGACCATCTTCCTCCAGCTCGGCTTAGCAGAACAAGAAGGTAGATTGTTTGGACTGGTTTCCAACCAGTGAGTCATGGAGCAGTGGGTGTGTAGGCTTCGGATCACGTGACTCAGGGAATTCCAGCAGCAGCTCCATGACGTGAGGGATGATTGTCATCTGGTCAGCATCCACAGGGATGAGGACTTCTCTGTGCAGAGGACCGTGATGTTGCTTCTGTGACATGGAAGAGGCGAGCTGAGGGATGGTCTGGGTTTCTCTGGAGGTTCTTGCACCACACATAAATTGACAAAAACCCTCTGCAGTATTACATAACTGTAGTTTAATGTGACCAAACTAAAAAAACACACCTTACTACCTACTAGCATGTGACACATTTACACCAGATGTTCTCCAGATATGACATGGGGGGGGGGGGGGAGTTATGAACTTTAAACTGAATTTACCCTGTTAATGTCTTAGAGAAAGCACTGAAAAAACCTTCAAGGGCTACTGAAGGTCTTCGTTTGCTTGTGAAGACCGCACAGAGGCAGCTAGTGGTGCGTTAAAGCCGTTTAAAGAGCCTCGTGGCACTTTGATCGCTGCAGTGACCTGAAGGCTGCGGTTCTGCTGCAAAGATGTGAGAAGTACAATCACTGCGGACCTTTGTTCCGAGCCGAAAGAGCGCGAGAGTGACAAGAAAAGAGCGAGCTGTCAGCGAAATTAAAAATATACATATATTTGGTTGTCACCAACCAGCCAGCCCCGATTCTCCTGCCGTCCTTTTCGCACCGAGCGGACTATTTAACGCACGATCACGCCCGAAACAAACCGCCCTTTTGCGCCCCACCACCACTTTCCGGGCTCACCTCTGGAAGATGTTCCACAGGAAACTCTGGTCCGGAGGAGCGTTGACGTGCGGGGGAGCTCTGTACGGACTGTGATACGCCATTTTACGGAAATGTTTATGTAAAAAAAAAAAGAAAAAAAAAGAAAAGAAAATCCAAACGGGTCTAGTTCAGTAAGCAAGCTGCGTCTCCTTCCGCCGGAGTTCCTCTTTCCAGCTCAGCACGCGACCTTAAAACGGACTGACTGCCTCCTCCTGCGCGGAGGGCGTGGCTAGTTTATTCACCACTGCTGACGTCACATCTTCCGTCCCCTTCAATTGGTTAAAAATAAACTAGGGGGAAAAAATCACGAGACGGGAGTAAAAGTCGCCAACACTTATTTAGTAAAACTGTGTTGATGACTGTAAACATTTGAATGCACACACGAAAACAAAGTTAATTCTGGGTTTTCTTCCCAAAGTTTAATGTGACAGTCAAAAGGTTGCAGGTTCAATCCCAAGTTCCGCCCATCTGTATGGAAGACGAGAGATGACATGCTTAAAAGTTTATAATCCAAATGCTATTGTTGTCCTGCTTTTTGTTTTATTTTGTACACTTTTGGAATCTAACTTCATTATTCATTTAATTATTCATTATTTACATGAACGTTTCTACAAGCACCCTGCAGATGTTGGATGCTCATCTTGAAATCACTTCTTGGTCTGCTGCCTTCATACATCTCCTCCTACATGTCTCTGCGTGAGTGCAGCTACAGCGTGCGCTCTCAGGACATAATTACCTGCAGTGTTCCAAAGCGGTGTAGAAAACTAAAAACAGGAACGTGTCTGCGTTGGTTTTTACCATGAACTTAGCAGATGTTTGAAGCCACTTAGAGAGGTCAAGAGCTTCAGATCTTTTTACAAGATATTCCAGGAAACAGGAGCAGAGTAGGAGAAGGCCCTTTTGCCTAGTTCAGTCCTCACTGCGGGGACACTGCAGGTAATAAAGTCCTGAGAGCGCACGCTGTAGCTGCACTCACGCAGAGACATGTAGGAGGAGATGTATGAAGGCAGCAGACCAAGAAGTGATTTAAAGATGAAAATGTACCAGTGGGAGAGTCTGCGTGAGGTTAATGAATGAAGACCAGTTAACCATAACCATCAGGAAGGGCATAAAAAACAATTGCCAATCTTCGTGCAAGTTAGAACTGCTCGCCTCCTCCAGCGTGGAGGGCGTGGCTACTTGAATCACCACCGCTGACGTCACATCTTCCGTCCTTTTCGTTAAAAATAAACTTTGGGAAAAAACCTTGAGACAGAGTAAACACTTGTTTCCATTTCGTAAAGCATTGTATGACTGTAGACATTTGAATGCACACATGAAAACAAAGTTAATTCTGGGTTTTCCACCCAAAATTTAATGTAACTTGACAATCAAAAGGTTGCAAGTTCAAGCCCCAATCCCCCCCCCCCCCCCCCCACACACACACACACCTCTAGAAGTCGAAAGATGACATGCTTAAAAGTTTATTGTCTAAACGCTATTGTTGTCGTGCTTTTTGGTTTATTTTGTACACTTTTGGAATCTAATTACTTCCGTTATATAGCCATATCAAATTGTTTGGGGAGTGGTGGCGCGGAGGTTAAAGAAAGAGGGCCTGTGATCGGAAGGTCGTCGTATCAATTCCCTGAACCGACAAAACCGACTTGGTGGAAAAGGTGATACACCTGTCTCCACCCTTAGTTTAAGCTTCTGTTTTGGTAAATTCTGCATTTGTTGTACTCTTAGAATGAGTTTAGCTAATTACCTCAAGTGAATATTTACATTTCTGTTGATGTTATTTTTAATTACTGAACTAATTTTACATTTTGGCAAATTTTATAGAATAAATTGATAGAATTGAATACATTTTGGTGATTTTAACCAGTGCTTTGCTTATTTTAGCTTATGTTAAGCCACTAGTCTTTGCCTAATTGCAGCATTTGTTTAGCTACTTTTAGCACAAATAAAGCTACATTTCTGTTTGCACATTTTAGCTACTTTGGATTACTTTAGCTAATTTTAAGACATTTTAATTTATGTTTTGTTTTAATGTTGTTTTTACCATTCTTTGCTAATTTAACTACTATTTAGCATCTGTTTTGAAGATTTTATCTGCTGTTTTTTTTTTTCTTAATTTCAGCTTAAGCACCTCTTTTGCTACTGTTTTCCTAATTTTGGCAGCTATTCTGGACTTGTATCTATTAGCTGGTGTTTTGCTGCTTTCAGCTTTAGCTACCGTTTTGCTGCTTTTAGTTTTTAGCATGTTTAGCTTCTGTTCGTCTCGTTTTGACTCTGCCAAGAAATGTCAGCAGTCATTCAACACGAAGCATTAGAAGTTAAGATCAGTTGACTTATTTCCCAGTAGTCTTTGAACGCATCACAGGTGTTTACTCGGAAGCTGATTGGCTTTTCGGGATTTGACGCGGGAAACCCGAGCGCCAATTTTCTTAACAAAAGCCTTCGTCCATAACATTCTTAAACTTTAAAAGTTGTGTATTTGGAGGCTAAAAGTCTAAAACGTCATGTTTTATTATCCAAATGTACTCCAGCGCCATTCTGGTTGCTTTTCTACAATTTGGTTAGTTTATATTTGCTAGCTTTTAGTCAAGCTAACTTAGCAGAGAATGCTAACTATTAGCTATGTTTTCAAAAGCTCTAAAACGTTTATTTTTCACATCTAAATAATTTGTTTTTGTTTTGTTGTGTAGGTTAGCAGCCACCAGAGGTATCCGGGTCACTCGCAGGGAGTTTCTCAAAGTAAATGTAAACCAAACCTGGTAAGATTTATTTGTACTTTTTTTGTAACTAGCACATTATAAGTAGTTTGGTTCAAACAATAGCTGTTTGATTAAAATCACTTAAGTTTATGTTTTTAACATTTTTCTCATTTTCTATTGTGTATTAATCTGATTGCGTAGGTGCATTTCTAGTTTTTTGTTGGTATAAACAAAGGAAAAATAATTCATATTTTATTTTTATATTTTGGCAATTCCTTTTGGATGTTAAGTCACTTGTTTGGCCTTTAATTGCAAAACAATAATAATTAGCGTTATGCCATAAAAAATATTTACCTTGCTGTATTTTGTGGATTGTGTATTTTATCTCAACTCTTTAGGGGTTGTTCAATGTCTTTAATTTAGTTTGTTAAATGTTTACAGCAGAGAAATCTTGGATTATGTGACGGCGCAAGTTCTCGCCCCGCAGCCGGACCAGCCCAGACCTCGTTTCTCTCTCTACCTGTCGTCGCAGCTGCAGTATGGAGTGGTTGTGGTCTACCACAGACAGTGTGGATTTCTGCTTGGTGAGAAAACAAACAAAAAATGAACAAGTTAGAGCTTAAAGATCAGAAACTACAAACGCTAATGTCCGTCGTTCATATGGTTTACCTGCAAACAAACACTCTGAGGCATGCTCGTGGAGTTAATCTGTGTGTTAGTTTAATTTTACAGCTTTTTCCAGAAACCAGAGAGAAGACGTGTGAAACACATGACGGTTGCTGGCTCATTTAGTGTCATTTGCAAGCCAGCGTGGAGCTGATGAAGTAACATCATCAAACACGGCTCAACAGTCTTGATTCGTCTGGGCTTTAATTACACCCCGACGCTGATGCTGCATCCAAATGATGTGCAATCACACTGTTCTCCGGGGTTGATGAAAACAGAAACACTGCAGGATGATTGTAATTTCATCTACAAAAGGCTAAACAACGTTGAATTTATTCTCCTGCTCACGCGTGGCGAGGACGTCACATCTAGCAACCGTTTTATTTTTATGAAGAAAGAGCTGCGTGTGAAAACTTTTAGCCTCTTTTTCTGTCCTTCAGAGGAGATCCAACAAACCATCGATCGCCTGCTGCGCTCCAAAACGTACATGCAGATCAGCGTGGCTGACACGGACAGGTGTGTACGCACGCGCACGTTTTGTACTAAACTGACAAGTCTGAGTCTCTTCTGGAAAATTTATGAGAGATGATTTGAAAATGAGAAGACGAGGTTCTACTAACGAGCTAGTGAGCATTATTCCAGTCCATTAAAGCTAAAGTGGCAAATTAAAATATGCATGCTTCCTCGTCGGGCGCAGAAACGTGTGGCGCTCCGAATAATAAAATCGATGCATCTCCTCTTGTCTCTCAGGATGATCTTAGACCTCCCTGATGGTCTGTGCACGATGGAGGAGACTGAAGGAGCTCTTGACCCATTCTTTGGTCTCATGGAGTCCCAGCAACTCCCCAGCCCATACAAAATACATCAGGTACGTAAAATAAGTAGCAGCACTGCTAACTATACCGCATGTATTTATTAGCACACAAACTGAACAAATGTCACAATTACTAATTCCTCATGTCGAATATTTAATAATCCTCGTCAGGTTAAAGCAATAATTAACTCCTTTAAATCAACTCATCACCAGAACTGTTACTGAAGCAGTTTTCACTCTGTCGTATAGTAACTAACTTTATTTACTCTTTTTCCATCACAGTTCAGATGAAATGGTGCAGTTTAGTTTTAAGTACATGCAGAAGCTAAAACGTAGCCACAGATTACATTAAATAAAAGAAGGTTCCTCGTTTTTGACACAAACCACCAAATCTTTTGATCTCGTTGCATCGAGCTTCTTACAAACCGGTCCGGGTCTTTAGTTGAGAGTTAGAATAAACCGGAGCAGACACGGTTGACCTTTGTTGTGTAATCCTTGCGCTCGTTGGAACACCCGTGCATGACTTGATGCATAAAAAATGCTGCAACACAAAGTGCACGTCACCCGAGGCGCTGTGGGATTAAAGGGATAGTTTTTGCAGGCGCCTTAAAAAGTCCTAAAAATTGTATTTGTACGCATTAAAACGTCTTAATTAAATTTATTAACAGACACTAACCTTGTCATGAAAAGCTGTAGGTTGATGTAAAGTTCACACAACTGTTGCATAAATCTTTTTCTAGTGTTGGCTCTGCGCGGACCAGCCGTTAGCTCGTCAGTCTGATCAGAGCTCTGAAGCTAAGATGCTAACGGTTCATAACTCGTCCGCAGAGCCGCACTTCAAAACACCTGCGTATTTCGACAAAGGCCAGAAATACTCGACACGAAAACAACACAGGGTTGTAAAAGATAAAATCTTCTCCCGGAAATAAACTTTCTGACGTTTGTTCCCAGGTGGAGTTCGAGGTTTCCGTGCAGCCGAGTCCTGACAAAGAAAGTGAGACTGTATTTATTTATTTATTTATTTATTTATTTATTTAACTTGAAATACTGCAGCTGTGTTTTGTTTGCTGGTCATATCAGCTTCAACCAAAGTGTGGATGCAGAGACTTGCGAGAGGCCCTCGGTGCACGGAGAGCCATTTCATTCAAAATTAAATAAATAGTGTTTAAAAATTATTAATAAATATTCCAATAAATAAATAAATGTCCCCATGAAATAAAACATTTAAATAGAAAATCTTTAGTTTTTCCATAATTTATTTTTATTCAATTCAAGACGTCTGTATTTATTTATTTAATAATGGAGTTTCGTTTTGTGACGTTTTTATTTTGTAAAGCCACTTTACATATTTCAGGGGCTTTTATTTGTTTGTTTTAACCCCGTTTTTCATTTTAAGCGCGTTTCCTTTAAATGGAATATTTATTAATAAATTTTAAATAACACTATTGGTTCTGAGCACAAAGTGTTGTGGTGGCAGAGCGTTGGGTGGAGCACATCCACCCGGTGGTGCTCGTCGTCGGCTGCTTGTGCAAGAAATGATTAATACACGCTCTGAAATATAACGTGTCACGCTTCATTCTCCTTTTGGAGCCCGTGGCTGAGCGGTTAGAGCAGTCGTCCTCCAATGCAAGAGTTGGGGGTTCGATTCCACCAGCAGTCACGTGCTGAAGTGTCCCTGAGCAAAACACTGAACCCCTCGTCGCCTCCGATGTGTCCCATCAGTGCACGAATGTGATAAAGCTCCGATTAATTTCTATAGAGCTCTAGTAGAGTGCTGTATGAATGAGGCACAGATTGTGTTGTAAAGAACTTTATAAGTTTATTTTTTTATTCCTTTTACCATTTTGGAGGAAGCAGGAAGGACGACGGGCGGGTGTGGTCGAGGTTCTGCACATTAAAAAAAAAACCTTCAGCTGTATCCTCTTGATCTTGGGACAGTTTTCCCTCAACCTTCAGCTGTGGAGCTAAAACCACAAGGATAATAAAAATACAGATTCAAGAAGATGCAGTTTATAGCAGGATGTCTTCTTCCTTTGATGTCCAACAAACTGCGTCTCAGAACAGTTGCGGCGTCTCAAACCCTCCTCCGTTTAGTTTCTGCGAAACGCTACACGAAGCGGGTCGCAGCTGTTTTTGTTACTCTCTCGTTAAATGATATGCAGGCAGTTGTGCCTGCGCTGAAATACAGCGCCAGCTTTAGCTGATATAAGCTGAAACTACGTTGCCGTGTTGTCCCTGACGGTTCTCGTTGTGCTGAAGCAGATTTCAGTTCCCCTTCGGCTGCCATCACCCTGACGGAGAAGGAGCCTGTTGTCATCAACGCTGCTGAGGTAAAGTGTCGCCGGAGGACGCTCTTCGTCATCGTTTTTATTTATTTATTTATTTATTTTGAAGCGGCAGATGTCCCCGGGAATCACAGAGACGAGGCGGCGACCTCGCACGGACGACATGTCCCGTTAGCGTCGTCGTCACGCGTCAGATCGGACGTTACTGCGCGTTTCCTTCGCAAAACAGGAACGACAAAGAGCAGAAGCTGAGAACAACGGCCGAGCATTAAAGGCCGAGCATTCTTTGACTCAGGGTCGTCTCGCGTTGAGAGTCGTAACCGTTTTCATAAAATCTTCAAAATAACGTTTTGTTTGATTTATCTGTGCTCGGCTTTTGTTTAATAATAATTCCAGCTACTACCACAACAAATTTCAGCTCCGAGTCTCAGAAACTGACAGTTACAGACATTTTAACACAGATTAAAGATCACAGTTACAATTTAACAAATTAGACCCAATAAAAACTGGAGGATTTGCATTTCCTGTGAAAATACAGTGTGAATGCTTATTGCAGAAGAACTAGCTGAAAAACAGCTGAAATGAGCTGAAATGGAAGAACAAGCCTAATTTAGAAGAAATAACTCATATTTGTTGAAATAGGTTTAAATAAACAGAAATGAGCAAATTAGCTAAAAAAAAAAAAAAGCTGAATTTAAAAAGAAATAACTGAAAAGTAGCTGAAAAGGCAGAAGGAAGCTAAACCACCAGAAGGAAGCGGAAAGAGCTAAAATTAGTTAAACAATGTGAGGAAAGAAGCTGAAAATGCTAAAATTAGCTTAAAAACAGCTGAATAGTAGCTGAAATAGCAGAAAAAGCTGAAACTAGTTGAAAAGAGCATTTAATTTATCTGAAAACAGCTGAAATTAGCTAAAAATGCTATAAAAAAAAAGAAAAAGGTAGCTGAAAGGGTAAAACAAGCTTAAATTAGCAGAAGAAAGCAGAAATAACACATGCTTGCCCAGTTAGGCTGAAAGAAGCAGAAATGGGCACAAAAAGTGGAAATTATCTAAAAAGAGCTGCAATTAGCAAAAAATAACTGCTGAAAAGTAGCTAAAATTGCAGAAATAAGCTTAAATAAATTACCAGAAGGAAGTGGAGAGAGCACGTTTTTGCTGAATTAGACTGAAAAAAAGTTTAAATGCGTGCAAAAAATATGGAATTAGCTGAAAAGACTAAAATCAGCATCAAAACAGCTAAATGGTAGCTGAAAAAGAAAAAGCAGAAACTTGCAGAAATAGGCTGAAACGAGCATAACAAGCTGAAATTAGCAGAAAGACGTTGGAAGAAGCACAAAAACGTTGTAGTTAGCTGAAAGAATCTGAAAGGAGCACAAACCAGCTGAATTTAGCTGAAAAAGTTTAAATTTGCTGAAAGAAGCTGAAGCAGAACAAAATGTGAAAGGAGCAGTAAAAGGTTGTAAACAGCTAAAGATTTGAAGGAGGTAAAATGAGCTCAGTTCATTTTCTATGAGAAAAAAATGGCAGAAAAGGCTAAATATTTCAACAAGCTAAAGCTGCACCAAAAGTCACAGCAGGATTGTCCTGAAAGAGCCGAAGGTTTTGATTCATGATTTGTTGAAATGGATGAAAACTGCGTGACGAGAATCGCGCTGACAAGCGTACGGAAGCGAACAGGATCGCGGTAGAGAGGATGCTTCAAGAACATCAAAGAATAAAACGCAACAATAAAAGTGATAAAGACTAAAACTGAGTGGTTTAAACCTACACGGTGTCAAATATTTAGCTTGGGTTTGTTGGCGTTTATTAGCTGCAGCGGCCATCTTTGTGTCAGCGTCACCCAAAGCTCATGAGCTGCAGCGCTGCCATTAAAATCCACGCTGTGGGGTGAGATATTTTGCTAACAGAGCGACAGATTAACGGTGTGTGTTCTGCAGGAATCAAAGCCGTTGTAGCCGAGACGTCCTTCTCGTCTCCTCATTCTGTCCCTCAGAGACGAGCGGCAGGAGGTCCGATCTGCTCGATGCAACCCGACTTAATGAAATCAGTCGGCGCTCTCCGCTGGTTCGGAGCGACATGTTGCTCACGTCTGCTCTTCCCGCTCGTCTCCGGGGCTTAATTTAGCCAAGCAGGCAACACAAAGTGCTGCTTCGGCTCGTTTCTTTATGGAACCGTCGCCTCTGATCTCCGGTCGTTCTGATTCTCCGAATGTTCATGAATCGTTCACGGTCGTGATCCAGTTTTATTATTACGTGTGTTTTTCAGCGCGACTCTCGTCCCGCGGTTTTCATCTGTTTCAACAAACCATGAATCAAAACCTTCGGCTCTTTCAGGACAATCCTGCTGTGACTTTTGGTGTTGGTGCAACTTTAGCTTGTTGAAATATTTAGCCTTTTCTGCCATTTTTTTCTCAGAAAATTAATTTATCTCATTTCTCATCCTTCAAATCTTTAGCTCTGTTTACAACCTTTTACTGCTCCTTTCACATTTTGTTCTGCTTCAGCTTCTTTCAGCTTCCTTCTGCTAATTTAAACAACTTTCAGCTGCTTTGTGCTCCTTCCTGCTTTATTCTGCTAACTACAACATTTTTGTGCTTCTTCTAACGTCTTTCTGCCAATTTCTGCAAGTGTCAGCTTTAGCTGTTTTTATGCTAATTAACCAATTTCAGCTAATTCCACTTTATTTGCACTCATTTAAACATTTTTCAGCCTCATTCAGCAAAAATATGCTCTCCACTTCCTTCTGGTAATTTTAGCTTCTTTCTGTTTATTTAGCTGTTTTGTTTGTTTGTTTTTAGATAGTTCTAATTTTTTGTGCTTATTTTTGCTTTTTTTTTTTTTTTCACCCTAATTGGCCAAACGTGTTCTTTCTGTATTCTTCTGCTAATTTAAGCCTGTTCTACCTTTTCAGCCTTTTTTTAGCATTTGTTTTAGCTAATTTCAGCTGTTTTCAGATAAATTCAAGTTTTTTGTGGTAACTTATTTTACTTTCAGTCTAATTAACTTCCTTTTGCTAATTTCAGCTTCTTGTGCTCCTTTCAACTTTTCTGCTATTTCAGCTAGCATTTAGCTGTTTTGTTGCTAATTTTAGCTGTTTCAGCTATTTCCACATTTTTTTAGCTCATTTCAGCTCTTTCCTCTTCCTTCTGGTAATTTAAGCTTCTTTCTGCCTTTTCTGTTATATACATTTTTTGTTGATGTTCCTAATTTCAGTTTTTTTAGCTAATTTCTTCATTTTTGTACTTTTTTCCTTCTTAATTCAGCAAATACATGTTCTTTCTCTTTCTTCTGCTAGTTTAGGCTTGTTCTTCCATTTCAGCTACATTTCAGCTACATTTCAGCGTTCATGTTTTTCAGCGTGTTTTTCAGCTACATTTCAGCGTTTTTCAGCTACATTTCAGCGTTCATGTTTTTCAGCGTGTTTTTCAATTACATTTCAGCGTGTTTTTCAGCTACATTTCAGCGTTTTTCAGCTACATTTCAGCGTGTTTTTCAGCTACATTTCAGCGTGTTTTTCAGCTACAT